CAAATACATACACTTCTATGTATACATTACTTCATGACTCGTCTATTGTTTTCAACAAGTTTTGTTTATCAAGTCAATTTTTTTTACGCGAATAACATTTTTTCCAGTTGAATAATGATCAGTTAGTTCTTCAATCTATCTGTCTTATAGATAAACACAATGAGGTATTTCTTGGAGTTCTAGTGAGAAGCAGTGACCAATAAAGTTTAACTGGGTCTGTTCTGACATTGTAACTCACTGATAACAATGATGGTTGTGTCCCTCCATTTCGTGATTTAGTTGAAGTTAGACATTAACACCGTTGGATGCTGGCTGGCTCAGTTGTCTATAGGTCAAGCGTTCGCACGCGAGACCGATGAGTCCTGGGTTCGAATCTCACGAGGTGGGATCGTGGATGCTCACTGCTGAGGATTCTCACACTGTGACGAAACTGCCGTTCAGGTTTTCCATAATGGTCTAGCTTCAATTGACTCATGATCTCAACTATTAAAATTACTATAATATCCACAAAACCCTTTCTGATATTAAACAGAAGAATATTACGTTTATCAATTAAAAGAAACTAGAATATAGACTGAAATTTTATAGCTGGATAGATTGTAAACCCTAATTTTAATAAAAAGAAGAGATGTTACCATGGAATTGAACATTTTCAAGATTATATATTTAGGTGAACACTTATAATGAATTAAAATATTTTCACTTGGGTTGAATATTTTTGTTATTGATACTTTTATATAAATTAGTCATTTCCATCTTTCACTATCAACATTCAAGTATCAGCAGTTGGTATTTGAAAATCTAACCAAATCAGGTATAGGCTTTTCTATTTACATTCAATAGGTGACAAGAGAAAGATAAAATTACTCTGAGCTGGATGGTTTGATCGTGGAGCTTTCCTCGTTATTCTGAACGACATCATCAGCACAAACTTGAAGTAGAAGTACAGTATCCGAATTTTTACATATATGGCTGACAGCTTCTTTATTTTGATTGTATCTCTGATCGATTTGATTTTTAATTCTAAATAATGATGGATTTAAAGTTAATAATAACGAATCAGAATCGAGGTCTACAGGACAAGCTGTGAGTCATATGTTGAGAAATTCTAACACTTCACTTCTACCTGAGTTTTGTCCTGATGATGTTACTCAGAATAATGATGAAAGCTCCACAACTAAACCATCCAGTCCAGAGAACAAAAATCCTTCAAAATTATCCACCACAGCCACAAATCTTCACCATCTTAGAAAATTTCCCCTTTTCTATGTTCGTTGTGTATATGGTTAACAATTATACTAGTTATTCATCTAGTTAAAAATCAGTGAAACGTAGTTTAAATAAACAACGAATGAAATACAATGAGTATCTTGTAATTATGTAACCAGTTATCTCTGGACTATTTTTAATAACATGTAAATAGGGGAAACAGATCCATTGATTTATAATGGAAAATTGAAAAATTCGGATATATGATGGTAGAATTAAACATACACCGAAAGAATACCCACATTATATTCTAACAACAATTTTTCCATTCTAATTATAAGAGTTCAACGAAAACAGTAATATATATTTCATATTGTTACATAAATGAATAAATAAATACAGAAAATTTATTAGTTAGAAAAGTAAACAACTTGATTTGTAGGCCCAAAGATCATTATTCAACACGTCTGTGTAAATATTTATTTGACTGACATTGACTTATGATGACAGGAAATAACTCAATTCTATTTTTAATAATCGAATTCACTAGTCGATCTATGCTGGATCACCATTTAAAACCTGGAAGCACTAGACGACCATTTCGTACTAGTATGGAACTCTTCAGCAATGAGAATCCATAATTCTGTGCACAGGATGTTATTTGTTTCATAGGCTTTTGGTAATGGAACGTAGTATAACCAATCTTACACAATTAACCCTTTTTATTTTTCTAGGTAGTATTATTTGTAAACTAATTAAACCACGATTAACAGTCAGCTTAAAAATTAGAAATAAAAGTCTTTAACGTAACTCGTTCAAGATACCATCCAGGTTGTCAAATGTAACTTAGGGATCAACATTTTCAGTTTAATTTAGTTTACCATACAGTACAATGATCTCTCAATTTAATCAGTGAATATTGTACTCACTATCTGAATGCCTCGACAAGTGCCAAGTTAACTGATATAACTCAAAATCTGCCTCATAGTAAATTACTAACAGATATAAGATTAATATTTAAAACCAACTGTATCATAAATGAGGTAGTTATCTGTTGATAATGTTGTATGACGATTGTTCGATATGGCTGAGAATAATGGACTGTTGAATTTCACTAAAGTACTTCACTCTCTGCAAAACGTCAACGTGTAACATTTAACCAGAAGAAGGTAACAGTAAATCAGATCTCGTGAAAAATATTAGTTTCAATCTAAAGAAATTTTACGAACCATGTAGGTAGAGTATGATGATTTTTAATGTGTTGTATTCTCTGAGCTTAATGGTTTAGTTATGAGCCTTTTTTTTCTTTTTCCAACATAGCAGCAACAGCACATACTTAACAAATGTTCACTAGATTTTCTGTACAACTGAATAATACAATGTTTTCTCGACCTGTCATTTAGTTGTTTGTTGTTTATCAATGTGTGATCATTCTTTGTATGCTTGGTTTCACTGGGTTTTTTTTACCAACAGATGATCTTTGACATCCCAACTGTTAATCTGTTATATACAGTATGACTGGTATTTGTTGGCAATGTTGTCTAAGAAGACAATGAAAGCTTCATGACTAAAATATCCAACTCAGAGAACATAACACTTATAAAATACAAAATTTGATCTATACATATTCTCTATCATTTATATGATAGTCTGTTTAACCTGTCATTTTATTAGTTCTATTACTACTTTTAAGATATTGATTGACTCTTGATTTCTTTCCATAAATATAACAATTTACTTATCTTGGTGTAAACTATTCACTTCAAACTTTAAACATAAAAAACGATCTGTCTTCTTTTTCTGCATTTAATGAAATAACATTAAAGTACACTATATATATATATATATATATATATATATATATATGGAGAGAGAGAGAGAGAGAGGGAAGAGAGAGGGTGAGGGAGAGAGTGAGGGGGGATAGGGGGACAAAGAGGGGGGAAGACCATCTGTCAATAATTTACTTGTTTATATATTAGAAATTTTATTTAAAAGTTTTAATTAAACAAATAATTTAGCCTTAAAAAACAATTTTTCATAGTTCATACAAAATTATTATGAATAAACACAGTGAATGACAAAAAAAAAGTTATATCACTAATATATTCTGTCTCTAAATAAACAATAAATATACAGTGATTATTATAGATGACATAATGGTGATAGTAAACCTCAAGTTTTTTGCATCATTCATATCATTCATTTATTGGTTAAATAGAGAATTGTTACTTCTTGATGAGTTCAACAATTAATTTATCCGATTAATTAATATGAATGAATAAAAACAAAGAGAATTTAATGGAAACCTACTTTACTATTGATCCATACATAAAAGAAATTGACAATGATTAAATTAAAAACATATGCTCACTAGTGATTGGCTTCAAGAGGTCTTTCCTGGAGTTTTAGTGAGTAGCAGTGACCAATAGAGTTCAACCAGGTCTGTTGTGAGATAGGAACTCACAATAGTGGGTGTGTCGCTCGATTTCATGGATTAGTTGAAGTTAGACATTAACACCGTTGGATGCCGGCTCAGTGGTTTAGTGCTTAGGCGTTAGGTCCTGGGTTCGAATCCCTCGAGGCGGAGTCGTGGATACGCACTGCTGAGGAGTCCCACACCACGACGAAACAGGTGTTCAGTGCTTTCAGGTTTTCCATAGTGATCTAGCTTTAAGTAAATCATGATCTCAACTATTGAAATTACTGCAATCTCCACAAAACCTCTTGTGATATTAAATTTTCTGCGCAGTAAAAGATTTATCAAAGTCGATTTAAGTTAAGAATAGAATAAAACTGAAATGTAACATATATAAAATCAAATTTATCAACTTTGAACAATATTACTTTTGGAAATTATTTCAAAATATTATATATCAAAACTATTGTAGTATTTGCTGACAGATATAAGTAGTATGTTGCACCAAAAGGAAGGGAAATGTCTGAGAAGACTGAAATGAAGAGAAAAGAGAAGAAAACTGAGAGCGATCAAGATGAAAACAGGAATGAAGGAACAATCTAGTTCGTAAGAGACAACTGATGAAAGATATGTAACTGATGTATTCATTATTTCACGAAGACACTGTGATTTTGCAATAAATTTTACAATAAATTGGTTATCCCTACCATGTTTTCGTTCACTACATTATAAACATTAGTCAACAATGAAGCTATTTAATGTGGAATATCTAATATCATACTAAATATCGTGTATCCTACAATTACTATGTCAATCCCCTAAAATTTGCGGATCATCATTAACATTGTTAAGTGAATAATTTTCTGCTTGTTTACTACAGATAGGAGGAGACTATAACTTTGCTTAATGGAATAAATATAATATTAATTTCTAAGAGATTCATCACAAAAACAATTGTTTTCGGATAGTAGAACATACATAATTCTAGTCAAGCATTCATCTCATATAAGATGTTGATTCAACTAAGAGATATCAATAACTACGATTTACTCCAAAGGTTTAATACTTTGATCAAACAATTTAAGAGTTCTTCAAATAAACTTTTAACGTATCATAAATAATTATTCCCCTCTGATAAATTTTGGAAAGAAAAACAATAAGAAGGTTTCCCCTTACCTTCTGATTTATCTAGTTGGCCTTTTATTTTTTCATATATACCATATTAACAAGTATATGTATGATCAGATCATTTAAAATGCATTGGGCAAGTAAATGACGTAATTCTGATAATCTTTGTCTTCTCATCGCATTATTCAAAAAGATCATGAATACTTGACTATAAACATCAATAAACGTTAACATTAATTTCTTTTAGGTAGCCGTGAAGCTGGTTTTGCTCATGCAATATCTGCAGCTGGTGTTGTACATGCATTAGCAAGAAGTTGTAAAGAAGCTCGATTATATTCATGTGGATGTAGTAAAGCTGATAGACCAGACCAATTACATCGTGATTGGATATGGGGTGGTTGTGGTGATAATATTGCTTATGCGTATAGATTTGCCAAAGCATTTATTGATGTTAGGGAAAAAGAGAAAAGTTATCCAAGACATTCAAATGAATTAGCACGTATGTTAATGAATTTACATAATAATAGAGCAGGTCGTTTGGTAAGTTCTTGTTTGATTAAATGACTTTAGCATTGATTACATATATACATATTTACTGTATTCTAGATATTTTACGTATACCATCCATTTGACTAAATACTATTTGAAGTTTCTCAGTAATTAAGGATCACAGCCTTAGATAAGCATTCATCGTCGCTGGATAAATCAAATTCATGCGCGTGTATACAACCAATCGTGTGGATGTGAAAACAATCTCAACACTAAGGGATTAGTCTCAAACTAAACGGGTTACCCTTCAGCGTCTATACAACACATTATGGTGTTGACAGTTAATTAGATTATCTCTATGCTTTATAATTATCTGGAATATTTTAATATTTCTGTATCAAATTAATCACAACTTACTTGTTGGCTAAAAGTTTTATGAATTCTTCGTTTAAATCCCAAGGCGCTGATTAGAGAAATATTTATATGGAATATGCATAGACATGTTTACACAGATATTCAAGTGGTTGGTACTATAAAGTCTACTTTTGTCATTGTGTTACTTTGATACTGTCAAATATTTCAATGTATCATTTTAGTATGAATATTTTAAATCATCGTAGCATAGTTTAATATAAAAGGGAATATTGTGCATTATTCGGTTAAATTTAGTGCATTTTAATTAATCAGATTTTAAATTGTCTCTAAGACAATTACAAAATTTCTTTAACATGTTTTTCATAGAATTTTGAAGAATGATAAGATTTCCACAGTGAATAACTCACCTCTTAATGAATGCATCATCGCGAAAAAAGCATTTTGGTGAGACTATGATATTTGGACGACCTTTGAGCGACGCTAAAGTAACCTTGAGAGTATCTACTTACTTACTAGGGCTAAATTAGGGTTATAAAGCAGTTTGAAGAGTAAGGATTATAATTTACAGTTGATGGTTAAGGTTAGGAATTAGATTTAGGGTTTTCATCACGAACTGACATTAGCTATAATGCCAGGACTCTATTTAGCCAAATGGATGAATGAATTTCACGCCAAAATCTAAGACCTGTTATAGTTAATCCGATTGGTTCGTCCATAAATTATAGTCTCGTCGGCATATTTTTGCTACCTGCTATTTATTGTTGATTATTTTCCGCCAAGTATGTTTTTAAATCAAGAAACTTTGGTCAACAAACTTATTTCTAATGTTCAATTCAAACAGCTTAATAGTGAAGTTTGATATAGACTGCTACGAATTGTCGAGTTTGGATCACTTTTCTTTAGATTTCAGATAATACCTGATGACAACTTTGAAACCGTTGTACCATTAACTTTATCGACTATTTTTACTCAAAAAGAACGTTTAGTTTGACCATATCAATTTTGAAGTTTTTTTAAAAATTAACAGGTTCTTCAAAAACCTAAAACATATTAACTTATCTTGTTCGGTTATTACAGACTATTCTTATATGACATTTATTTTTTCTTCTAGGCTGTCTACAAATTAGCTTCTGTAGCGTGCAAATGTCATGGTGTTTCTGGATCATGCAGTTTAAGAACATGTTGGACACAATTGTCCCCATTCACTCGTATTGGTCGATATCTTCGTCAAGGTTATGACGAAGCTGTTAAGGTAAGCAAAATTCCTCATCTTAACAGTAATTCTGCATTTTTTTTACAAATCACTGATTGATATTGGGTTAAGTAAGATGCATTCAGAAAGTTTATTAACTTATGCTAAACCTAACATATTGAATTTGTCTTATCGACACTAACTGAGTGTAATAAGTGGCAGTCAAGATGAAGGTGTTTATCGACTAGCCAACTGTATTTAGTAATATTAACGGAAACAAACCGTATAGGAATTAATTTCTGAAGTGGAGCTACATTGTGCTACCGAATTAGAGCAAATCTAGAAACAACACACGCTCTTATTCTCCATATTAGCTAATCAGGATATAAACCAGTTATACTCAGAATTTATTGTGACAAAATTTTATGCACAATAGAGATAACGTAATGGTCATTTTTTACTATTTAATTGAGGTTGACTAAGTATAAAAACTTATTTATATGTCCTCACATTATCTTCGTTTACGACTCCGTGATATAGTACTTCATTATTTGAGAACCTCTATATTTCATTCTTTTTGCCGATTAACTTATACAAGCAACATTGTTATAAATGATGAGTACAAGTACTAGTTTCTCGGTTGAATTCCATTCTTGAACACAGTTGTAACATTTTCGAGGAACGAGGCTAATATTTCCTGGTTGTTTTGCTATGTTGAAGCCAGTAGACTTGAACTACTTTGTATATAATGGAGAACGTTTTTCCCAACTATTGTATTGTTAATCTAGGAAATAAATCGCTATAGTAACAGACCATTAATCACCTATAATGTTTCGAATTTTAATGCTAAGGAATGAAATTTAAATCGTTGGGGAAACGATTTCAGAGGAATTTGGAAAGACTACATTTTTATTTGCCAGTCTGTCATATCCGAGATCTAATTATTTACCAACCAAATATTGAATATAAAATACCTTATCAATACAAACTTGAAGTATTTGTATCTTTTTTATGTATATGATAGATAGAAATGACTTTGATTAATATTACTTAGTGATCGAAGTTGAATACCAGTTGTAAACTTGATCGTTTCATCCTGATATGATACCCGCCAACAGTGCACCTCCACGACTCTGCAACTGGGGATAGAGCTAAAGACCTTCAGTCACCTACTCTACCCCTTAACATCTAGGTCACTGGGTTGAAAGTTTGACAGTGTACAAGTCTAATTTCATTCAATCAGCGATATTGTGTGACCATTTTTTACTGTTTTCGGTAGATACCTTCTTCATATCCGAAACTTTTGAACTCTACTAGTCACAACTACTCACTAGAACTCTGGACATTTCCGTTCTAAGCTGGTTACTAGTGGGGATATGAATTTTCTCATATGAACTCCATGTATGAATAACTGAGTAAATGGACTCTACATATGAACGTATCAAAATATTTGTCAGTTTATTTGTAATTGTACTAGTATAGATAAAACGAAGATTAAAATTTCACTGTAATTTCTGAAAAGAAAGTAATTCAATATTGGAGTGCGATATTTTTCACAATGGTTATCTGATCAAAAAGTCGACATTAAACTTATATGTTATAAGCAAACAATTAGGCATTACCTAGTGATATTTGTGAGCTACATCCAAATGACCTTGTCAATAAATGATATTCATTTAATGTACATTGACACTAATTAGCAAGATCCCGAATCGATATCATTTGTCAGGCACTGTAACGTTTTACTTATTTTTATCTTCAGTAATATTTTATTGATCTATAAAACTAAGCACTGAAGGACTATACAAACAAGATATAGGTCATTATTAAGTAACCAATTACTTAAAAACATATCAATCCTACTAGATATCCATCGAAGCCAGAGTAGCTCAGTGGTTACATAGAAGACCGTAAAGTTGAGTGACACGAGAGCTGATCCACGAGGAATTATTATCTCCCTTAAGGGTGAGGATACACCTTTCTCAATCCAGGGTTACCTACTGATCACCCAACATCTTCATTGTCGGTTGGTTAATAAACATTGTAATTTCCTTATCAAGTTGAACAGTTTAGGTGATAATTTGAAAATATCTGAAGACATCCTCGATGCCACGAAACTTGACTAATCCTAATTTACCTATAAACTAATACTGAATAAAGTTTCTTTAGAAATCTTCAAAGTATAGAACATTGACTCTTTGTTCGTTTCATTTGTAATAAATAATTTACCCAGAATGAATAACAATTTCTTATTCATAGATTTACACATATTTCTGTCATAATATATTAAGCAATATAATAAGTAATACAAACGAATCATTTTTCTACTGTTTTATTCCATTTTCCTATTACCCTAAAAAACAACCGCAAACATACAAAAATGTCATATTTTATAGTCTTAGTGAATGAACAATGTCTACATGACGCCATGTTTTTACCCTACTAGGTGATAAATATTAGTATTGTTTTGTTTTAAATATTTTTATTCACTATGAAGCATGTTTTACTAGATTTGGTTACTTCATTACAACAAATAATAAATAACATATGTTGTATTCTAGAATATTCCATTTTGTAACTCGAATGATATTTCAGTTTCGTTTTGTTTTCACGTTTTATTTCTTTTTTTTTTGTTTTTAATTAATTCATAATTTTTTTTATCGTATGTTGTAATAAGTGAATTATCTGAAGGGGTTTTGTGAAGATTTTAGAAATTTCACTGATTGAAATCATGAGTTGATTGAAGCTAGACCATCATGGAAAACCTGAAAGTACTGGATGACCGTTTCGTCCTAGTTTGGGACTCCTCAACAGTGCGCATCCACAATGATGCCCTGCTGGATTTGAACCCAGGACTCATCGGTCTCGCGCACGAATAATGAATTAGTTTAAATATGCAATATATACATATCTGTAGATTAATGAGTGGTTGATAGGCAAAGACAAACACTTTTAATTAGTAGAATATGTGATAAGCAACAGTACAAATACAAATGTTGATTTCCATGAGTGGTATAAACGAAACGATAAAATGTTTTTCATTAATATATTGACAATCATTATGTATTGGTGAAAATAAAATTTGCTGAAATATTTATCAGTGAAGATGATGATGGCTAGTAGTAGAATCTAGGAAGCATGACTCGTCAGATGGATGCATCTGTATCCTGCAGTCGATATTTGCTGCAGGATTTGAACGTAGTACTGTCCACTTCTAACGCCAACGCGTTATCCATTTAGCTACTGTGTCTAGATAGCCATTAACGTATACAGTAGAGTGATGTTTAATTTATTGTTCATAACACTTGTAACTCAAAGTGATATCTAGGCAATCCGCATAGGATGTACATTTGCCAATAAGAGACTGATCAATTGTGGTCCTAAACATCAATGGGAATATTCAAACAACCAATACAAAAATGAAATATTTATGATTGTTGGGAAAATCATTTGATTAATGAGAATAGTACAACTATTAGTGTATTTCAACTAATTATCATTTTCCTTGGTCATGGTGTATTTTGTTAAATCTAGTTTTCCAGTTGTAAGTTTAGATTTGAATTTAGATATTTGAACATCAGGAATATAAATATTACACTAAATAGAATATAAACCGGTACACAAATATCAACTTAAATCACCATTCAATATACTTAACGAAATATTTCTATGAAATGATTTTTAATTAGTTTACTTCTGGTTACTTCTGTGCAAATTTACCAGTGACTTTGCTTTCTATAACTACTTATTCTGTGATCAACAGCTCCGAATCATCATTGTCAGTTAAATCATCAGTCTTATCTATACAATCTTGAGGTTTGTTAGTAATGAGTGTACTGTTCTCATTGAAAACAAAATAGTTGAACTCATGAGTCGATTAAAACTAGATCACCATTGAAAAATTGGAATCACTGGACAGCCGTTTCGTCCTAATATGGTACTCCTCAGCAGTACGCATCCATTATCTTACCTACGACCTTCGGCTTCGTGCACACCTAGGTTCGAGTCCCGTAAGCGATACTGTGGATGCGCACTGCTTAGTAGTCTTATACCAGGATAAAACGACCGTTCATTGTTTCCAGGTTTTCAATGATGATCTAGTCTTAATCGACTCATGAATTGAACTGTTCAAAGTACTACAATCTTCACAAACCCTCATTGTGAAAATAAGATAAAAAAGAGTATGAATTTAGCGGTATATTATATTTTATTGACCTCAAAATAGACTACAGTTTTATATACATATATCAATCAATATTTATGTGTAACACAATTATAACTAAGGTAAAAGAACTCATATTATTACATATTTTGTTCACACATTCATATCAGTGTTAAATCTGATTGTGATATATTTGATGACCAATGAACTAGTTATAAGATTATTTACTTGAAAAATGATGACTAATTAATCCAGAGAGAAATTGCAATATAAAAGAAAATAATAAATAAAAACAACCACAACAACAACAACAAAGAACTGATTATGTGTATAGTTTTCAAGCTCATTAAAGTCATCTATTTGGTATTAATATAATTACAAATATTTTGAAGATAATTTATTTCGAGTTAATGAACTATTAGAATGAATTAAACAACCGTTTGTCCAGGCTCCAAGCTAGTACATATCCAATCTGATACATAGGTATATTCTACCTAACCTAGGTGACATGTTGTTACATGTTGTCTACTAAGCCAAGAATCCATTGCATATTAAATTCTCAATTTAAAAAGATCAAAATGAATATAAAACAATGATCTTAATGAAAATTATGGTGGGTTTTTTTTGGGTGTAAAGTTTCTCTAACAATTGGTTACGACAAGTTGAACCAAAGTACACATGTGCTAGGTTCTACATTAAATATAAATGATTGACTGACTTTTATTTACTAAAGATGAATAATGACATGATTGATAAAATAATTAAAACTTCTATAAATGGTAATAAAGTGTATATCATTGATTCTGAAGGCATTATGTTCTATTTTGTCTGAGTTCATTAACATTAGTTGAATATTTTAAACTAAGATGAAATTCGGTAACAGTTTTGCGGTGATTTCAATTGTTTTCTAAATGATATCAATTTATGAGTATTTTACTTAAATAGACAAAAAATAGTACGTCAACATCATGTTTATTTACAGCAAAACAGATAAGCAATTGTGAGATAATGAAGATATACAAACTTGATTTAATATCAAATATGCAAATATATGTTATAAAGTAGGAGAGTGTAATTATTAATGAAATAAATGAGAATAGAAATAATTTAATGATAAACTTTTTAATGACTCTATCAAAAATAAGCATAATATCAACTATGAAAATAAAATGACAGAGAATAATAGGCCACTTAACAACTGAAATATTCATACTAGTATAGGGGTTGTGGAGATTATTAAGTTTTTGATTGAGATCATGAACCGATTGATGTTAGACCATCACCTTTGGAAACCTAGAAGCACTGGACGGCCGTTTCGTCATAATATGGGACTCTTCAGCAGTGGGCATCCACGATCCCTTTCGCGGGATTCGAACCCAGGGCCTTCGGTCTCGCGCGTGAACGCTCAACCTACTGGACTATTGAGCCGGCATCCAATGGTGATAGTGTCTAACATTAACCAATCCACGAAATTGCGCGACCAACTTCCGTTGTACTGAGGTAGATACCTGTCTCTACCCGACATGGATTAACTCCACTGGTCACGGCTTCTCACTAGAACTCCGAGAATTCCCTCACGAAGCTAGTCACTAGTGAGCACATGTTGATTACTAGTATAGCGGTTGTGGAGATTATAGTAGAAAACAATACTAACTGATTTATTTATGACCCAAAGATTGGAAAATATGACTTTACAGAAATGTAATGTAATAACAACTAAACAGGTATTCTGCCTCGATTATTTTACAACTAAACATTGTGAAAACAGCTAAATAAGGTGAAAAAGAATAAATGAATGTAGAAAGTATGATTTACAAATAATAAAACAGAGAAAGGAGAAAAAGTAACTTTGAATTGTCTCACTATTAAATAAAATAATGAGAAAACCATATATATATATATATATATATATATATATATATATATATATATATATATATATATATATATAACGTAATGGGTTCTTAAAAACCATCCCCTACGCTTTCAAAAGAACCATTCGTTGATTTCAATCATATTGATCCATTTATATCTGTGCACAATATGAATACATTAAACATGCTGATGTTACATTATTTTTCGGATCGATGTACAAAAATAGTTGTACTTGTAATAGTACTGATCTCTTTACACGTTAAACAACAATAACGTTTAAAACCATACTAATCATAGAAATTACAATTATCCAGTATATTATTTATTATTAAGGAATTTTAATGTACGGTTCATTTCATTTCATAATGAACAGTAAGAACGAACTTTCTCCCTACATTCTTTACTTTGCAAATGTAAATATCAACATGTTTCTTTTTTCTTTCTTTTTTTCATTTTTACTACTGTATATTTAAATAAAAATCCTTGAAGAACTTCTTTTTATTTTTTTCTGGTCCTAGTCTCTTCTATTCACATTGTATCACACTAGTTCTCATTTATGCACACATTTCTTCTCCGTCGTCGTCAAATTTCATGTTACTGTTTTAGTTTGCTTGCTTGGTTGTTTATTTATCCTCCTCTTCATCAACTATTCTGTATAGAATATAGTTATTTTTCTTCTCTTTCAAGTTACATACCTTGATGCTTTTTCTATACTTTGTCATACACCGTCGACAAAATCAAATAGACGATTTGTAGTATAAGTTAGAATAAGACAAAAACAACAAGACAACTACAAATCATATATATATATATATATATATTTGTTTCAATCTGCATTCGTATCACTGAGACCATGTTCAGCAGTAAACTATCTATTTTTTTACTTGCTTCTTAAAACAATCACAACTAATATGTCGAATGAAGACATTTAACATGGTCGTTCTTGTCATTACCTAATACAAAGATGATGATGATGAGGTGGAGGAAGAAGATGAAATGGAGGGAAGTAAGCGGTAAAGAGATATGGTGTACAAATAAGATTTGACATGATTAATAAAGATAGGGAGAAAAAACCAACTAGTTTTTTTATGTACATATTTTTATCAAGCAACTGTTCAACATTATGGTGAAAATACATACATAAAGAATAACAAACCGAAAAGTATTCATTGTCTTATTTGTACTTGTAGTCGCCGTTTTCGCTATTATTATCATGTTCATCAATAGTAACAATAACATTATTAGAGCCAAAGTATCATCATCATTGGAATAATAATACCATGATTAGGGTTTCTTCTTTGTAACAATGTCTATGCTTATTACTCTCACTACCGCATTCTATTTGTCATGTATTCTATTCATTTTGAATCTTGGACAAAAGGAGTAAAATGGTAAATGATAAGTAATAACAACAATATACATGCAGACATAAATAATTTCATAGTTTGTAATTGACTATGTTTATGTATGTATTGGTGTTGTAGAAGAATGTGTAAGGCAATAGCTAGAATTTAGACAAATAAAAATAGAGAATATTATTAACAGACTATCATTTATGATCACATGTTTGTTATATTGTATGCTGAATGATAATGAAAGTAGAAATACATTTAAACTAGTTGGCTGAAGGATGTTTGTTATAAATTATTAGATCTGATTTTTTGAGAAACAACAATTTTACTCCCTCCCTCAAGAACACTGAATGGTTTGTTTAATTCATGTGTATATAAGAAGCATGTAAGTTATCCGTCTTTTTTCACAATAACCATAAAGGTAATTAGTTTTATTACTCTAGTTTAAACTGACATTTATTCTTATAAGAAGTCCAATTAACAAGGCAATCACTTAAATTTCCCAATAGCTCTAATCCATTGTAACTTCATATATCAAACTTAAAATTATCAAGATTTCTTTACTATCATTAATGAGAATGGATTTGTAAACATACTACCTTGCAATCAAAAATTGTTTATTGATGTCAGTTATTATAATGGGAATTATGGCAGCGACTAATTACTTAGCATTATGAGTTTGAGATCAACATAAAATAAATTTTCAGTGTGTTGAAAAATCTGTGAATTTTATCAACAAAAAACAAGTTAGGAAGTAATTTCTTTGAAAATAAGTAAGAATCTCTAAATTTAAACTTTTTACTTGAACAGAATCATATATAAAAATCGACAGAAACTCCTGGAGAACATGATACGTGTGTTGTTCATTTTGACGAATCAACGACTACACGCCATATTCAGTAGATCTTGATCAATACCAAAGTATCAAGATTGATAATATCTAATCAAATCTTAATTGCAGATCATTTCTTTTTATCTTGATGAGTGAGCCAAATTCAAACGTTTACGGTAAAAAAAAAGTTGTAGAACGATAGTTGCATTGAAATTGAAATATAAACGACAAAAACATCAGAAATGATTCCTACTAGTTAAATAGTAATGGGTATTATTAATGATGGCTTTATTCAATACTCTATTTTTGGTACAATATAGAATTCTCAGCACGAAGTAATTCAACAGGTTTCTTTTTCTTATTTTTTGACCGAACCTGACGATAAATATTTACTGATCGTTAGTTAGATGTTAGCAGTTCATGAAGTGACATTTGAATAATGTGCATTCTTTTCAATTCATGTTGCCAGCCACTGCGAAGCCTCTCATTGTACTTTTTTGTAACTTGTACAATGCACAGTTGTAAACCTTTTATAAAAGCACCTGATTAGTTTATTCGATTAACGGACACAATGTGTTAAAACAAAAAAAACATGTAACTGGTTGAAATATCTAGATGACAGGAACACGTAGCCCAGATATATATATATATATATATATATATATATATATATGCATAAATTCATTTTAAAGTAAATAATTTTATCAAAAATGTTTTAGGTTAAATTCAACAGACGTGGAACAAAACTACGTCGAGCTAGTAGACAATTACGTCGCATCACACCAGATCATATCACATATTTAGACGAATCATCAAACTATTGTGAATATGATCCAAACACTCAGACTTCCGGTACAAGAGGTCGTGAATGTTTACCAAACAATACAGATCAATCAAGTTGTGCAACACTTTGCTGTAATCGTGGTTCACAACCACAATTACGTGAAGTACGTGAAAAATGTCATTGTCAATTCAATTGGTGTTGTCGTGTCGAATGTCAGACATGCGTGAAAACAGAAGAATATCATGTATGTAATTGAATGAATTTACAACTGAATACACAAATTATCATAGTTTCTTTTTATTCAAAGAATAGTCAATGCATTCTTATTTTAATTTATAAATTATTTTCCTATGGATTTCTACCTCATCGTTTAAACCATTTTTATTGTTGGTACAAACAAAAGTGTTCAGAAATCAAATATCATCCTAATTACAGGGAATATTGTATCGTAAATTCAATAGTGGATCATAGAAATCAAACTTATTACAAATGAAACACATTAACTGGCAACAAAATTATATTATTATATAAACACAACTATAATAATTATTAGTAGTATATCATCATTCAATCATATTTTTAAATATGTCAGCTTGTTTGTTTTTCTTTTGAAACTAACCAATTAAAGTTTATTGTATTTTAATGTTTATCTAAGTGAATTCAAGTAAGGCATGAAATTCATTTTAGCGTTAATTCAATATTTACATCATCAGAGCAACAATATATACATAAAAAAGAAGAAGAAGAAGAAGAAGAAGAAGAAAACAACTAAACATATATATGGGTTGACTAGTAACAAACTATTCATTCTCAATAATCATTAATTACTATTGAAAATTCTAATACAAAATATACACAACTTGTAGATATACATAATGAATATAATTTATGACATGATATTTTTTAAATCAAAAATTATTATTTACATTTCTTTTCTCTTAAATTATTCTCTTTTCTCTCTCTCTCTGCGTTTCTATTGTTCATTCATTCATTCATTCATTTTCATTTTGTTTATATACAACATTTTGCATATGTAATAAGTTACACACATGAATGAATATACAAAATGAAAAAAACAAACAAACAATTGATGTTTAACTTAAAAGAGAACATTGAAATATATTGAAAAACATTTTTTGAAAACATATATATATATATTCTCATTCTTGATTATCATTGGCTAATTTAAATAGTGTGCCGTTCATATTGACCAATAAGGTTACTGTTTTTCAAATTATTATTAAATTTCATCGTATATATTAATTTATTAAAAAAACTGTTTTTTCATAATTTGTTATAAATAAATAAATAAATAAAATATTATTTAAAAAATACTGATTCTTATTTAATATATTTAAATTAAATTAAAATTGATCATATTTAATCAATAAATAATAAAACACAATTCATATGAACGAAGAATATTCTTTTCAATGAATTTCTCATCAGATACTCTACAATTATCTCATATCTAAATTAATAATCCATAAAATTGGCCAGATTTAAGGCAGAATACATCATTTAGAAGTTGTAATATGTGAATCAAGAAATGTTGTTTGTCATACAAAATCAATTCAGATCGTTAATGTTGGAGCTGACTAATATCCTCAAGGTCAAAGGAAAAGAGGAAGACCGAAGAACACATTACTCCGAGAAATGAAGAGGGACATGACAAAAATGAACAGGAATTGGATGGAACTAGAAAGAAGGCCCAGGACAGAGTGGGTTGGTGAATGCTGGTCGGCGGCCTATGCTCCATCTGGAGTTATTAACTTGAATCAGTTTATAAATGAAATGAAATTGTTTGATAAATAATGAGAAAGATTAGTTCAGCGAAGAGTTCTCTTTTCGGCTAATTCATGTACAGCTTTGAAAATGAGTTCGCCAAAAACAGAACTCTTCGCCGAACTAATCTTTCTTTCTTATTTAATGTCATAATGGGTGTATTCCGTTTAGTAATCGGAATGATCGTGGAACTAAAAACAAACAAGTTGGGGTTAGAAGATGGAAGGTGAAGCAAATGGCTGTAAAGGAAGAAGAGTATGAAGAAAGAGAAAAAAGAAAAGAAAAATTATAAGACATTAAGATCATGGTAGAAGAAGAGGTTGGTTTTTCTACATGTATGGCTAATGCTTCGGCAGTGCAAAGAAGATGCAGTCTAATTGTCTTTGGAAGACTCCTACCTAACTTGTAGATGACTTTGAGTGAGTGATCTGTGTTCGTAATGTGAAATAGAACAAACCAGATTCCATCGGAGGAAGAAATGAGGAAGAAGTGATGGAAGTGGATAAGACACACATTGAGGAAAGCAACCAACTGCGTCAAAAGACAAGCCCTCACACGGAATTCTCAAGGAAAAGAGGAAGACCGAAGAACACATTACTCCGAGAAATGAAGAGGGACATGACAAAAATGAACAGGAATTGGGTGGAACTAGAAAAGAAGGCCCAGGACAGAGTGGATTGGAGAATGCTGGTCGGCGGTCTATGCTCCATCTGGAGTAACGGGCGTAAGTAAGTGAGTAAGTACCAACCATTTTGAGAAATTTATTCAGCATCCAACCCTATCTACTGTATCTGACCTAATTCATATTATCCTACATATTACACTATTATCTCTCTTAACCCATATCGACCAAATTTATTCTGATCATCTACCTCACAATTTCACTTCACTTATAAACTGATTCAAGTTAATAACTTCATATTAGTCAGCCCCAACATTAACGGTTTGATTTGATTTTGTATGACAAACAACATTTCTTGATTCACATATTACAACTTCTAAATGATGTATTCTGCCTTAAATCTGGCCAATTTTATGGATTATTAATTTGGATATGTGATAATTGTAGAGTATCTGATGAGAAATTCATTGAAAAGAATATTCTTCATTCATATAATTGTGTTCCTGATAATAATGGGAATTTTTCAGCAATAAATAATAAGTCTATTTTTCGCTAATCTTTAAACAAATAAAATAAAAGCTTTGAAAATTTCAAATAAAATTAAGTTGCAATAGAATAATCAGCAGATGAAGTTGATCTGGAAAATGTAATGTATTCATGCTATATATTTCGAATAATATAATCTAGAATTATGGAATATTTGCCTTGATGACTTCAAAACCAATTAATGTAAAATGTTCCGATCAATGTGGGAAGTATAAAACTATGTTCATCAATAGCAAAACACAAAAATGAAACGGGTCACAGAAGAAACATCAATACACCTCCTAAAACGTTGCGTAAGAATTGTCAAGAACGAGTTTTTAGATTTATTGAAGCCTTGGCTATTCGTAAGTTTAAACCTCCCCCCATGTGTACAAAAACAAGTTATCGTAACCATGAATTTAACCTGGTAATCCTTAAGTCATTTTATGATCTACGATAATGTGACAATTTCTTATTCTTTCTATACAATGTCAATTTTCTCTCTCCTTTATTACTTTGTTTACTTGAATCTTCATTTAATTGACTATTATTAATTTTCATATAAAATGCCTTGACAAGTATATGTGTGACCAGGTTGTTCGAAATATATAGCGCAAATACATCCCATTTTTCAGATCAACACCGTCTTCTCATTGCTCTATCGAAATTTAAAAAAGGACTAATTACTTTAAACATCAAGTAACTCGTTGGTAGCACAATATAGTGTATAAACTTTATATTCAGTTGGCAATGTTGTTAAGATTAACATTTCTTTACTAAGTAACAATAGATCACGATGCTAAAGTAATTATCTATGATGGTTAATTCTCAAATTAAGGTAAATACATAAAACTTTGTTATGATGTTCTAAATTCGATATGTCGGGTTAAGAATTAAGCCTAATAGTTAGATCGTAATTTTATTGGATTATGAATGGCCAATAAATTCTGTGTCCTACCACTACTTTTGTTTACAAAGTGACTGTTAAATATTTTTAATTTCATTTTCAACATTTTTAATATAAGTGTATTATTTTACCGGGGAAAAAATCACATTTCGCTCACCAGTTGTTCGACCTTTCGATTTCTCTTCATTAAGAGAAGGATTATGTTCCTGATTTTGTTTTTGATAAGTAATTATCATTCAGTCACAATTTCATCAATTCATGCAATCGACTAAACATCTAGGCACATGCCATATTTCATTGCTGTAATGGGTTCATGAGTATTTTCAGTATAACTGAACGAAGATTTTATCCCAAAGTTAGTGTCAATAAAAGAAACGTTGGACTCATACATATCGTCTTAATTTGGGAATCCACAAGAAGTACACACTGATAATTTTACAAAAAGATCTATGTATGTAACGCTAAATTACCTTTCCATGTATGGTACTAGTTAACTGATAAATTAGTGTTTAGTGATCAACCTTTTTGATTGAAAAAAGACAATAGAAACGTTGATACTTATCGACTGGCAATCAAAGTACACATTGACACAGATTTTATCTACCAAGGTGTCAATCAGTTAAACTATCAGAGGTCACACGAAATCGGTCGACAACAGAACTGAAAGAACAAATGAATACAACAAAAACTATTAAAACAACTTGTTTTAAACAAAGCAATCAAAACGACCTGGTTTAACACTTCTGGAATAACTGAAAGGTTCATCTCTATATTAAGCATACTCTGACGATATTGCCCAAAACGACAATGAAAGCTAAGCGATTAAACTATATGACCCATAAAACACAAACCTATCGGAATTTCAAACGAAGTATTTTCATTGAACTTTCTATTTTTCTGAATGATGTATTTAGCTAAATACTAGACTTATTTCTTCATCAATATGCGCCAATGTAACAAATACTCATTTATCCTCAGGTTCGAATGTCAATTTGTAAATGTTTTTCAGTGAAATAAAAAGTCATTTAAGACTTTCGTTGACTCTGACAATAACAGAAAATACGCTTTGCTTGTAAGATGTGAAGAACGAAAATATCAAGTCCCACGATTCTGTTAGCTCCTTGCATTAGGTATAATATAACAAAATACCTAGTCACTAAACGGAAATAAAATCCAATTAGCCTCAATAACTGGATATTAACTAACTTCTGAATTCGCAACCAAATGATTCTAACGAGTATTTACCAAGCACACATCTCATGAAAACCTTCGATTTCTACTCAAAGAAACTTCCTGAAACATTTAGATACTGGGCAGTGTGTTTTTGTTGTGAAATAAAGTCATATCATTCGGGATAAAGAAATTGAAATTAAGTAAAGATATATCTTTAAAGTTGGTTTTGACTATACATTCATATCTGCTGCCAGGTCATCATAAATCAGTGAAGATTGTACAGATAAGACTCGTTATCAGTACGCATTCTCACTACCAGACACTGAACCCTGAACATTCATATTTCATAACGAGTGTAATACATTTAGATTAATTCGACCATTTCTTGATTTGAAGACACATCATTTAATAATATTAGAGAACTACTCAATCACTATTAACTTTTGTCGAACTTCACAGCGAAATTGAGTCCATAAAATTCAATTCCTGAGAAGGAAACATGAGACAATTGTATGACACAACAAAAAGCTCGCTGGAAATTATCGTAAACCAGAGCGACCAGTGGGATGAAGAACAAGTACCAACAGATTGGAAAGAAGGACACCTCATCTAGATACAAATGAAAGGCGATCTCAGCAACTGTGATAACTACAGAGGCATCACTCTTCTCGCAATACCAGGAAAAGTTCTCCACATGGTATTGTTAAATAGAATGAAGGACTCTGTAGACACCCAACTTCGAGACTAACAG